TTGCAACTTTGACCGACATGCATCTTTCCACACCTATGACAAGGAGGTGTCTTGACTTGATTCCCTTGCTCCATCCAGTTAGGTCCTTGAGATGAGGATGACACGGTCTTGGCTTGAAAACTCGGTCGGGGCTTCTTGAAGGTGGAAGAACCTCCGCTCTCAACCCTTTTCCTAGCTAGCTCATAAGATCCTTTCTGAAGCCGCTGAACGCGATACAGATCCGCGGCACTCAGATACGAATCCTTAAGGGAACTTGGCCTACTCACCGTCAACGCTTTTCCTGCCTCATAATTCAGACCGGCAACGAATCTCTCAACCTTAGCAAGCTCCGTAGGCACAAGCATCCTAGCAAAGCGCGCCAACTCCAAGAACTTCTTGTGGTACTCGACCACAAACAGGGACCCTTGCTGCAGGTGAAGGAACTCATCAAACATGGCGGCTCGCACATGCGCTGGGAAGAACCTCTCGCGCATCCTATCCTTAAACGCGGACCAACCAAACTCAGGTTCTTCAAGAAAGGTCGGACCCTCATGGACCCACCACAGATCAGCTTCCTGGCAGAAGTAGAACGTTGCCAGTTCTACCCTTCTCTCATCGGGACAACCTACAACCGCGAAGATCTTGTCGAACACCCTCATCCATTCTTCCAAAACCACCGGGTCTTCCTCACCCGCGAAGGTGGGTGGCCTATGTCCCGACACCAAGCGACCCATATCGCGGTGCCCAGCAGGTTGAGGAGGCGGCACAACGTGGTTGTTGTTCAGCAAGGCTTCACTGAGCGTCTGCGTCAGTTGGTGGAGATTCTGAGCGAGCTGCTCGTTCGTCGGGGACTCCGGGGTGCGAGCTCGGGGACGAGGAGGCATCACAAACTTCTACAACAACAACACGGTTACCAAAAGATAGCAAACAAGCAAAGAACAGAAAGCAACACTCAGCTCACCGCGCAACCTAGAGTCCTAAGCCTAACACTTAGATTCTTAAGGTCGCTTAAAGGTCTCAAACCACACTTAGCCACTTAGAAAGTCTAGACTTAACTCCTTCCTAGGCTCAAACCTAGGCTCTGATACCAACTGTAACACCCCCTAAAAACAGGCTAATTAAAAGCCTTAAACATGCAGATAACACAACTAAACAACAAACACAGCGGAAGACTAAAAGATAACTGGATAAACATAAATCCAAGTCATAGGGTGTTATGCCACGTACACCAACAAGGATGAACGCTACGGCAATATCTGCATTGTTTACAACTATCCAAAATCTCCAAAGTCTACAACTAGAGCGGCACACAAGCCATAAAACAAACGGGAGAAGCTATGCTAATAGGCACTAGACTGCGCACTCGCCTAGACATCACCTGAAAGAACACAATAAAACATGGGACGACGCCCGGTCAGCGAATAATGCTGGTAACCCACCAATACATGTGAAATATCATACATAGATAAGATATAAGTTGTAAAGCCATTTCCGAAACGGAATACATAAGTACATAAGTCAACAACCAAGATCAATAGTCAACACAAGACTCAACACTCTCAACAAGGATACGGGAACACATCCCAAACCACAAAGGTTAACCACAACACAAAGGATAACGACAAGACCGTTGGCAAAACATGCCTAGGCAACACATGCCTTTGTGACTACACACGTCACAAGAAGAGAACACACAACCACGGCTACACAAGCCCTCGTGACATCACTCATCACGAGTTGATATGCCTTCCTTATGCCCGGTTCCAACCTTATGGCTACCCCCAACCTTATATCTAGTTCCAACCTTTACCTCCAGGACCCCTGTACACCAAGTCCAACCTTATTCCTCCAGGAAACGTCGTTCCCCCTCCAACAGTCCCTCCAACAAAACCACCGATTTCATAGTACACGAGGGTACCGTACACACACACGGCAACACATGCCACCCAAGAATCACGTGAACCTTACACAAAGGCCACAACTCCATAATCACGTCACGGCCACCACGAGGACCGCTGCAATACCTTGGTGACTAGTGTCCCATTCCACTAATCGTGCAATCCAGGTAAAGCCACACACACATCACACCTCAACAGGAATCAATCAACGGATCACAATGAAGATATGAAACCATACTCAATCAAGGAACGGGTCACCGCCCAACAACAACAACGATGAATAACACAAGTTATCATCAACCAATGAGAAGGTACAAACAACACACACACTAGCATTTAAACACCGAACTAGCATGCTTATCAAACGGGTAAACCAAAGATAGTTTCGAAGAACACACAAGACTCATCACGGTTCAACGAAACACAATGTTGAACACTTAGCACGATTCACGATAACAAAACCTACATGGAATCCTACCATATAGTTCTAGACATACGAAACATCAAGAAGACACTCAAATAGTTCCACAAAATAACATCGGGAAGTCAAAAGATCAAATACTGAGCCAAAAGAATCACGGGGAACAAATCCCCCAACATCCAACATTGTGTACCCGCTGGTGGACCCACGGGTAGGCCCCTACCCGTGGTCTTGCCCGCGGGTACAGGCTCATACACCACATGTACCCCGTTGGTGGGCGGCGGGTGGGCCTCCTACCCGCCGTTCCGCCCGCGGGTACAACCTGTACCACAAAACCGCACTTCGCGGATTCTTCATCTCCAACTCAAATTCAAGTCCAAAACATGCCAAATCTCACCAAATACAACAAAATGACTTGAATCAAAGGAAATGCCAAGCAATGGCACAAAAGAACCCTAAACACAAGCTCTAGATATGCATTTTCACAAGATCATGCATCAACACTCACATTTCATAGCAAAACACATGTAGAATCCAAGAAATATTCACATATAGGTAAGCAAAATAGGTTTTGTAGAGCATGGGTTACCTCTTGTAGACTAAAGACTTCACTTTACACCTCAACAAGCTCCTCACAAGGCTTACCTTCCAAACCCACTTCAAGAACAAACCAAAAGATCATAAAGATCCTATCTTTAAGAAAAGACACCTTAGATAAAACCAAAAACACAAGATGAACTTAGATCTTACCCTCCTAGATGCCCAAATATAAGAAAGGTTGAATCTTGGAAGCAACTCTTGTAGTTTTGGCAAGGTTCCAACTTGGCTTGGAAGAAAAGCTACTCACCTTTTAGAGAGAGGGTGGAGCTAGATTTTTAGAAAAGTGTAAGGAGAGAATGAAAGTGGTCTTACTAGGTTAGGTTACATTACCAACAACAAGTGAAAGGTCAAGAATACCCTTACTAACATAAGGAACTGAATAAGGAACAAGGAAACTCCTTACAAAGCTCAATGTACAACTTTGACTTTGGGGTTGACTAGTCAATTATTAGTCCCCAACTATTAAATTTCAGGAATTTAAGGAATTAAATTACAAATCGAACATGACAACAGATGATGAGCTTCCCCGTGTTTAGGTCCATGCAGCGATATCCCCTAAAAGAAACAGGGTAACCTAAGAAGACATAGGGTGCAGACCGGTATTCCATCTTATGCTGATTATATGGCCTAAGATAGGGATAACACCTGCACCCGAAGACACGGAAGAAGGTATAATTGGGTTGTGTTTTGTGTAGACGGTGATATGGACTTTGAAACTGTATAGCCGAAGAAGGTAGGCAATTGATTAGGTGGGTGGCCGTTTCAAACGCATAATCCCAGTATTTTAGAGGAGTTGAGCTTTCAGCAAGTAGTGTTAAGGCGGTTTCGACGATATGTCTATTCTGACGCTCAACGCGTCCATTTTCTTCGTGTGTATATGAGCACGATTGTCTGTGTATTATGCCAAGGGATTCAAAGACTTTGTGTAGGCGACGATATTCACCCCCTAAATCAGACTGGATGGCTTTGATAGAACGCGAAAACCGTCGTTCTACCATTGCCCGAAACAATTCAAAGCTTTTATATATATCTGATTTTAACCGTAATGGGTAAAACCAAAAAAAACGAGTAAAATTGTCTACAAATAGAGCAAAATAACGGTAACCAGAAACAAAAATAATAGGTGACGGACCCCAAATGTCCGTATAAACCAAGTCTAAAACATTTGTGCTAGAATTTGAAACCCTATCTAGTGGAAATCGCGCTGATTTGCCTAATTGACGCGCCGAGCATAACTGCGACGAACTGGTTTTATTGTGAGTGACTAGACACTGTTTGAGAATACGTTGTAGGACTTGACTATGTGGGTGACCCAACCGTTGATGCCAAACTTCTGGTGATGTTTTGGCGGTAAGAAAGGCACAATGAGACCGAGAACCAACATCTTGTATAGACCGGCCGAGGTGGACCCCTTAAGAAGCACCATTTGGGTGTTGTAGTCCTTCACAAAGAATAAATTTTTATGAAATTCAAAAAACACGTTATTCTCATTAGAACCGATGAACCGAAAGAAGCGGTAATGACAATTTAGGTACATGTAAGATTTTAGACATTTTTAATGATTTTGACACAGATGGGATAATAGCATGCCCGACACGGTTAACACTCAAACCTGCGCCATTGCCGACTTTGAGCACATCGCCACCAGTATAGACATCGGAGTGTTGCATCATCTGTTCGTCCGGGGTGGCATGAGACGTTGCGCCGGTGTCCGGGTACCACGCCTCCGCCGCCGAGGTAGCCACAGCGTCGCTGGCGGGAACAACCATGTTGGCTTGACCAGCTGGACGTTCATCATAGCACCGGAAGCAGGATATGGCCGTATGGCCATGGGATTTACAAATCTGACATCTTGGAGATCCCCGACCACGATCGCCGCCACCTCTGCCACGGCTGTGCCTTCCTCGTCCACCATCGGATTTCTGCCATTGTAGTCGCCGTCGTGCCATCCTCGACCAGCGAAGAAAGTAGCCGCCTGTCCCGATGCGCCGGAGGACTCACCCATCGTGAAGTCATCGGAGTATATAAACTCCTAGGCCTGGAGATGATCAGACAGTTGAGATATTGTTACATGTGCGCCGGAAGCGGTGAGGTAACTCGCCATGGCTCGGAACTCAGGCCAGAGGCCTCGCAGGACGTACAACAGTTGTTCGTCAACGGAGAGCGGCCGGCCTGCAAGGGATAGGGCTTCGGCGATGAGTTTGGCTTTGTTGAGGTATTCAGACGGTGAACCAGCCCCCTGACGTAACGTTTGGAATTGTCCGAGCAAGCTGAGGCACCAGGAGCGCGTCGTCGAAGCCAACCTGGTGGTAGGGGTGGGCACTTCGGTTCGTTTTATCCGAACCAAACCGATTCGAATTGAACTGAACCGAACCGAACTAGTAATAGAAAACCGAACGGTTCGGGATTTTGTAACCCAAACGGTTTAGTACCGAACCGAACCGAAATCGAACGGTTTGGTAAAAACCGAACCGAACCGAATGCTATATAATTTTTTAATAAATAATAATAATAATAATAATAATAATAATAATAAATTAATAATAATAATAATAATAATAATAATAAAGAAGTAAATCCAAGTTCATTGATGCCTGCTCCGCCGTTCAGTTCTCATTCTTACTGGTACCGAACCTTAAATATTTTATTTGATTTCTTTATAGCTTGTTTTCTACATTGCACTTTTGTTGTTTTTCGCAATTGTTCTTTACCTCACAATTATATCTAACTTGAGTTATATTTACAATATTCAGTATTTTCCTTAGTTTCATGTTTTTCTATAAATTTAATGTGCTTTACAGTCCTTCTAATTTTGATATCCAGTGCACTATAATTATTTTCTAGTACTGGAATATATTTCGAGTGCACTAGCAATGGCAGATTGTGTCCAAAAATTAACTATATAGTAATTGACACTTGTTCTTTTAATATCAACTATACAGATAGATGATTATTCATCTTATCAATAAAAATATTCCAACTGAACCAACTGAAGAGTCGGTTGTGCAAAAACATTAACTGATGTTTGGTAATTAGTACTTAGTATTGTGTTTGAACTTTGGATTGCTATTTTGTTATACAATGTTTAGAGTTTGAATTTAGATTACGTGAATATGTATTGTTTGGTCATATGTTCGAAAAATTAGGAAATGTTGAAATTTGGGGATCTTAAACCGAACTGAATTAATACTCCTAAACTAGGCTAGAATAGTAGACTAAATCTACAACCACTAATACAAACTATATATTATAAAGATATTACAATACTACTGACAGTTAGCTGATAGCTGTTTGATTTATACCTTGTTTGGTAAAATAGTTAGCTTATAGGCCAATTTTGATTTATTTGACCACTATTAGCTTTTTGATTTGGTTAAAAAATCAATATAAGTGTTTAATTAATTAGTTTTTTGTAACTCCAAAATGCTAAAATTCAAAAAGCTTATCAAAGCAACCTTTTTAATTAACTTTTTGAGAAAGGAAATTATACCAAACAGCTATCAGCTAACAACTAATTTACCAAATACCTTTCTACAATCAGCTAATGGTATCAACTAGTTATACCTTCTAAATAACCCAATCAACTAACAACTAACAGTCATTTACCAAACATGACCCTAATTTTTTTTCTCAAAAAGCTAAATGAAAAAGTTGCTTTAAGTATCTTTTTGAATTTTAGCATTTTGGAGTTACAAAAAGTTGATTAACCAAACACTTACATTGATTTTTTAACCAAATCAAATAACTAATAGTGATCAAATAAGTCAAAATTGGCTGATAGGCTAACTATTTTACCAAACAAGACCATATATTCTCAAGTTCTACTTCCAAGTTTTACTCTCATTGTAAATTTTTGAAATAGACATTTCTCTTGGCACCAGCGAATGGGCATTGCAATTGAAATTATGGAGCCTTGAGGCTCCTTTTATAGGAGTCTCAACTCTCAAGGCTCTATTCCCGACTTCTTACACCGATGTGTGATAAGTGGGGAAACAAATATAAATATAAATATAAATATAAATATAAATAAATATATATATATATATATATATATATATATATATATATATATATATTATAATATTGAGTAATAATAATAATTATTATTATTGTTGTTGTTGTTCTCACTCTCTCTCTCACACACTAACACACACACACACACACATATATATACATACATACATACATACATACATATATCATAATCATATTCATTATTATTATTATTATTATTATTATTATTATTATTATTATTATTATTATTATGTATAAGGGTATTTATGTCTTTAAAACTTATTCCATTTCTATTCCTTTAACCAACCAAACACTGCAATACAATTACTAAAGTCTATTCCTTTAGCGAACCAAACAATATAATACAATTATTATTCTATTCCTTATCTATTCCATTTTCTATGGAATATTATTCCTATTCCCTCCAAATTCATTCCGTGAACCAAACGTACTGGTAGTAGAACTAATGCATGAATGGAATGTGTTTTAACAACATCTTTTTCTCTAGCCATAAACTAATCAGTAATCACGTGTCACATCGCTAATTTTTTTCATGGTACTAAACAATAGGCTTATGAACCCCGTTGGCGGGCTCAAGACGACAATGAGAGTAACGGGACTAGCAGATGGGATGGCTAAACCCGTTTACACAGTCGCATTTTTTTTTAAATTACTGGGGATGTATTGCAAAAATTAATTAATTTTTTCAAAAAATTTATTGATAAAACTGTTTTGAACAACTTTTTGAATTTTAACATTTTGGAACAATAAAGCATTCATATTGACTATTTGACCAAGTCAAATAGCTAATAGTGGTCAAACAAATCAAAGTTAACTGATACGCTAATTTACTTGATAAGCCAAAATATGCTTTATAGTGATGATGAGTGATGGGTGGAGCAACAAACGAAGATATGGGAGAAACAGTTAGAAACGAGGGAAATTGTTATTCAGTTTACGAAATGGACTATGCATGCATGTGATGTGTTTTTACTTTTTACTGATATCTTTCTACATCTACAATTCTAATAAGAGCCAATAATGTTAGGCCCTTAACTGGAACAAAAAAATGTCGGTAGTATTGTTTCTTAAAATGAATGGTTCATATTATTTTGATTTTAGTAAATTTTTAATGATTTTCTTTATTTACCCTCTATTATATTATTTTCTTCCGTTAAATAACCTAGTGGAGAGCATTGTCATCCGCTTTAAGGCGTAAGGGTGAAATTGTTCTAAATGTTGCATCTAGTGGCATAGCTTCTCTTCTGTTACCAGGTGGCAGGACATCACATTCTAGGTTCGCAATACCTATATCTGTTAATGAAGATTCCACTTACTACATAAGACAAGTCACCCCATTGGCTGAGCTTATTATGCAAAGCTAGTTGATAATATGGGATGAAGCTCCAATGATGCACAAATTCTGTTTTGAAGCCCTAGACTGAACTCTGAGGGATTTGTTGCGCTCCACAAATCCAAGTAGTTGTGAAATGACATTTAGTGGTAAAACAGTTGTTTTGGGTGGCGATTTTAGACACATTTTACCGATAATTCCAAAGGACACAAGGCAAGATATTGTTGGGTCGAGCATAAATTCCTCATACCTTTGGAGAGCATGCAAAGTATTTAGGCTAACTAAAAATCTACGCCTAAGAAGTGTACAATCGTAGATAGAGGCCAAAGAGATTGAAGAGTTTGCAAACTGGATAGCTAATATAGGTGACAGAACAATTGGTAGTACAAGTGATGGTGAAGCAGAGATAACAATTCTAGATAGTTTTTGCTAAACTGTGATGATGATACTATTGCTACGATGTTGATAGCACTTTCCCTATGTTCAGACGGGCTAATGGCGATTTATCATACCTTAAGGATAATGCTATATTGGCTCTAACATTGGATGTAGTAGATATCATTAACCAATACATGAATGATCATAATCCATGTGAGGGTAGGACTTATTTGAGTTGTGATTCAGTTTGCAAGTCAGATTTTAATGCAGATATGTTAGTGGATTTGCACACTCCAGAATTCTTGAATGGTCTGCGATGTTCTGGAGTACCTAATCATGTTTTGACTTTGAAAATTGGGGCACCGGTTATGCTATTGAGAAATATTGATCACACACTTGGCTTATGCAACGGTACAAGGTTGATTGTAACAAGGTTAGCTGATCACGTGTTGGAAGCAAATATCATGGGCGATACAAATGCAGGTACTACAGTTTTGATTCCAAGAATGTCACTTACACCGTCAGATCCAAGATTGCCTTTCAAATTCCAACGAAAGCAATTTCCTTTGATGCTATGACAATAAACAAAAGTCAAGGACAAACGTTTTCAAAAGTGGGATTTGTTTTAAAAAGACCCATCTTTAACCATGACCAAATGTACGTAGCTGTTTCAAGAGTCAGTAACCCGAGGAGTTTAAAAATATTGATTTGTGGAGAAGATGTAACATGTCTTAGTAAGACAACAAATGTTGTGTACAAAGAAGTCTTCAACAATGTATAATCAAATTTCAATTTTGTGGGGATTTTTCATTTATTACATTTCATAAGCTTTATTTTATACTGTATATTACATAAACTATACATATGGCCGTGCATTGTACGAGTGCAACTACTAATATATATATAGTTTTAATAAGAGCCAATAATGTTAGGCCCTTAACTGGAACAAAAAAATGGCGGTAGTATTGTTTCTTAAAATGAATGGTTCATATTATTTTGATTTTAGTAATTTTTTAATGATTTTCCTTATTTACCCTCTATTATATTATTTTCTTCCATTAAATAACCTAAATTCCGTTAGTATAAACTTTAGTACCGGAATATTCCGTTAACTATTTATTATTTTTAACTTACTCATTAATTTCTATAAGAAATGTCATAGGTTCAAACTCCATCCCAATTAGAGTTGGCATAATTGTTAAACATATACTACGAATATCTTAAAATGTATCAAAAAATATATAATATAAAATTTAACATAAACTTTAGTTAAATAATTAGTCCGACTAAATACATACCATTCAAAGTTAAGCATCAAAGATTATAAATCAAGAATTTTAAAAATCATTTGATTTTTATGCATTTTTTTAAAAAAAAATTAAATGGATTAATTAGCGTATTATCGGACAAAATTGTTTTTACATCATTGTTAGACTTGCGCGACCTAACTACAAAGTTGTTGATCATAAATAAAATTACACATGTACTCTAAAACGGTAGGACCATTTTCCAAAGAATTGACAATGTTGAAATCCCATTGGCTTCAATTGAACAAGTTTACACATCAGAATTTTATCAACTTCTAAAGAAATTTGTAAGTTAATTTTTACTATATCATTATAACAATATCTATTGTAACTATATATTTTGAATTATTTATTATCATCCTCTATTGATAGGAATTGTAACAATTGTCATTGACAAACTCTCAAAACAATTTGTCTCAACAACGAATGTAAATTAAAAAAAAAATCAATAATTTCATTATTGTTGATGAAAAGTATGTACACCACTTTATTACTCTTATTAAATTAAATAAATTAGTAGCTACAACAATAAATAATACATATGCCCGCATATAATTAATTTAGAATTATATATATATATATATATATATATATATATATATATATATATATATATATATATATATATATATATATATATATATGTATGTATGTATGTATGTATGTATGTATGTATGTATGTATTTATCAAGTATTTTATACAAATACAATAAATATTAATATTTTGTGCATACGTTCACATGATAACCTACGACACACATCTCACAACGCATGAAACATGTAGGGAAAAAACTACCACAACCAAATATCAATAGGTGCTTGTAAGATAAAGACTTAATAGTACAACTAGGATTCCATCATATACACAACAAGGCAAATCTAAAGCTTCCTACACCATAATCTCATTGCACGATGAATCCATCTATGCTACCACCAGTAACCCAATTGCACATGAGACACTACCAATATATATATATATATATATATATATATATATATATATATATATATATATATATATATATATATATATATATAGAGGACATGTACTGAAGATGAAGACAGTGACAATGCTACCCAAAAGAGAATTAAGAAGAATTAGAGAAATTTAAAACAAAAGGTAGTATTTATTTAGACTATCTTTTTTAGACTAAGTATTTAGACTAGCATTACTACAAATGTGCAAACATTTATTTTACTGACAATATAATAAATCTTTCATATATTATCTTGCATTTATATACTTTAAATTACCGATTTAAATAAACAAATTCGATATTTATTTACCAATGCATGAACATCTTCGATATAATATTGCATTGATATACTTTGAAATTATTATTTAAAAATAATCATTGGACATTATTCCATTCACTCAAAGCGCGTAAAACAACTAGTCTAATCTAAAAACATAATAAGCCTCAATTAAGGTTATATCCTTGATTTATGTCCCTCTTTTTGTACGCAAATAAAGGTGTACATTTTACTTTAAATGTTGTACATTCCAATGTTATTAGACAAAACTAGCCTTACACCGTTATAACACCGTTAGTTTTTAATTCTAACATTGATAACACATCATTATTACCATACACCTATATCTATCATATATTTTTTTTTAATTATTATTTTATTAAAATCATTATATATTAATGTAATACTTAATTATATTTTAATTAAATTTCTATAAATGATAAATTTTATATGTGTGTGTACAAAATACATATATTATTTGTGTATATATAATTCAAATTATAATTTTTAATTATTTATATTTATCAATGTTTTAATATTGGGCATGAATTTTCGCGCATCGCGCGTACAAGATGCATGATAAATTATATATGTGTGTGTACAAAATACATATATTATTTGTGTATATATAATTCAAATTATAATTTTTAATTATTTATATTTATCAATGTTTTAATATTGGGCATGAATTTTCGCGCATCGCGCATACAAAATGCTAATAATATATATAAACATAAATGTACAATCCAACTATCAGTTTAAACTTTTAGTTGAGATGGAACACGTGATTCAATTTTTTAAGCCTCTTTTTCTCTAGCCATAAACTAACGGTAGTGTTCATGGTGTTTAATTTGTTTCCTGGCACATCTATGCATAATTGCTATGGAATTTTTCTCACTTGGCTTGTTAGAATTCCTACTTCTTCTCCTAACTTGAAATACAATCCAAAATGTGATCAGCTTCTTGCCTTCTTCACATCAATATTCACACATGGAACAATAAAATGCCCTCCCCTCCTTAATTGCTAAGTCGCTGTGGAACATTCATATTAGAAATGCCAAATGGGCAGATTAAAGTGGAGCGTTATGCTGTGCATCCGTATGTACTATGTATGGTGCATTCAGATGCAAAAACGACGTCGTTTTGAAAAAATAATAATTTCAGAATTGCATAACTACACATCCATAATTTCATAACTATAAATCCAGAGTTTCATAACTACACATCCATAATTTCATAACTATAAATCTAGAATTGCATAACTACACATCCAAAACTTCATAACTATACATCCAAAATTGCATAACTACACATCCATAACTTCATAACTATAAATCCAGAATTGCATAACTACACATCCATAACTTCATAACTACATATCCAGAATTGCATAACTATACATCCAGAATTTCATAACTAAAAATCCAGAATGAATAAACTAAAAAATGAATAACATAATATTGTTGCTGGAAATCAAAACTGATTTTTTTTTTTAAGTAGGACGCACATTTTGACAAAACAACGTCGTTTTTGCATCCGTATGCACTATGCATGGTGCATACGGATGCACAACATAATTTGCCAATTAATGTTCGAATTGGTCCAGCTTGGTCCATGAATAAAAAATTAAAGTCTGGTCCTATTTATAAAATAAACAGGACCAACCTGGCCCAAACGAATCGGGCCTAGACTAATCTTCAAGCTAACCCACCTCTAATTCGTATAAACGAGTCTCAGCTCTTTGGATTCGTTGGATGCATATATGGGTTCTTGTACTAGTATAGTGTATCTTAAAGGGACGGCAGATCTGCTTGAGATTGAGATTGGAATTGGACACCAAATATAGATGATTCTCCCATTCACTGGTTAAACGTAAATCGCAATAGTCAAGAGGTCCTTGTTGAATTGGTATTGCCTCTATTAAATAATATATTATATACTTTTATCATTTTGTAAAAAAAGTAATTTATGATATCGAGAATGTGCTAGGAAAGGTTGTAAACAAGAATCATCACACCATTGCTTGTATGGGTTTGTTGTATGATGATTATAAGAAGGATTGGAAAAAAGTGGAGGAGGAGAGTGATAAGATGAAAGTGTGGCTTGGGAATTAATCAAAGGGGAGGGGAAAGAAAAAGATAAAATAAAATAATTAAAGGTTAGGAATTGGTTGAAGATTAGGTTGGTGTTGTCGGGCAAATGAAGTCATCTGCCATGTGGAGAAGTGATGACTGTTTTTGGACTTCTTGTCTCCATGCACATAACACATACATGATTGACATTTTTTGCTTATACCGTCCAAAACCATAACCAGACATGTTGTTCCCAAGCTACCCTTTATATTCCTTGTAATCTCACATGTATCCCCTTTTTTTTTCTTTTAAAAAATAAAAATTATCAATAAGATTGTGAGATCACATCCTAATTATTTATTATTTTAATTCAAATGTCCAAATTACTTTTATTAATTTTTGGGATTAGATGTTTGGTATTAAAACTGTGGGGATTATAAATGAGTCTTTAAATTCAATCCTTACCATTAATTAAAATTAATTAAATGATTGAGATGAGATCTTATAATCTCATCTACCAGGGTGGTCTCACAGGATCAAACCCATATATATATATATATATATATATATATATATATATATATATATAGGATTGAGTTCAAATGAGGACAACAATATATAGAGGACTGTGAGGACAAATAATGGGCATACAACAAATTAATACCAGGCACACAACTTAATACATAATGGCACACAAGAATAAATGTAACCATCAGGTTTCGAACCCAGACTCTATAAATTAACAAATCTAGCACGCGACATACAAACTGTGGCACACGACTACATTCGGCCATGCTCACAACATACCGGCTAATGGCACACACTACATCTGTCCTCACAGTCCTCTATAATATACTTGTCCTCATTTGAATACACACACACACACACACACACACACACACACACATATATATATATATATATATATATATATATATATATATATATATATATATATATATATATATAAATTTTTAATTAATTATTATCAAATATGTTCTAATTAATTGTTGATTTCATAAAAAATTTAAATGTGTTATATGATTATTAATTGCTAATTTACTTAGAGGTTTTTATATAAATTGTTTAAAATTTGTAGTATACTTTTTTTTTTCTTTTTTTTTTTTTGAGGAAATTTGTAGTATACTCTAAAAAAATGATAATTTAAAAAATTGAAAATTGTTAATTAAATTGAAGCTTATTTATATAGAGATTTTACTTGTATTGTAATACTTCATAAGTTGATATAGTTTTTATTTCTTTTACATCATTGAAAGAAATAATGAAAGTAAAGTGACAATTAAAACAGAGCATAAGTGTGAAAGAAATGGTAGGAATATAATAAAGGTGGAAAAAAGTTATTGAATAAAGAGGAAATTTCAATTTTGGTTATATGATTATAGGGGTCTTGTTAATTTCAGTTCTTGATTTTTAAAAGTGTCAATTTAGTACCTTAACTATGCAAATTTTGTTAATTTTGGTCACTCCGGTCAAATTGTCAGCTAAATTTCACCTAAAAATTTTAATTGTTAAAATAATAAGTGTATTTTGATCATTTCACGTCTCTTTTCTTATTCCCATGCGAGTCCATCCCTTCCTCTCCCGTTTCCGGTGAATACAATGAACTAAGATGACGGGGAAAGGAGGCTTGATGATATTAAAAATAGGGTTTAGAGGGAGAAAGAACGCCGGAAACGGGAGAGAAAGAGATGGACTCGCCGGAGAAGAAGAAATGAGGCGTGAAACGACCAAAATATCCCTATTATTTTAACTATTAAAATTTTTCCGGCGAAATTTGGCCGGCAATTTGGCCGGAGTGACTAAAATTGACAAAAATTATATAGTTAAGGTACTAAATTGACACTTTTGAAAGTCAGGGACTGAAATTAACAAGACCCCTATAGTCATATGACCAAAATTGCAATTTCCTCTTGAATAAATTATGAGCAAGTAATGTGGTTTGAGTAAGAAAACACATGCAAACATTTTTCAAATTCAGATATATACAATAACATGTTATGTGATAAAATTTTGATATAACTATTTGTTGATTTTATGACTATAGGGGACAGTTAGTGTGCATGCCAACATAACTGATGCGATAATAGAATATAAATAATTGGGAGGAAACAATAAAGTAGACACGATATTTTTTGCATGGAAATCAAAAGATGAAAATCACGGGTCTTTTTGGGTGATGTCGTGCTAAGATCCTCTATTTTTGTAGGTAGTTTTGTACACGAGCAAGTCGGATCTCTCTCCCTTACCCCTTATTGCTAGAAAGTGGTTGTCTCTCCTATTTCTTAGAAGACACCCATTGTCTCCCTACCATGTGCTCGTCCCCTTACAATGTGACCTCTAAAGAGTATTTATACATAGAGAATTGACTGAAGAAACGAAAGAAAAATGTTTACAAAGTTTGTGCCAGTTTGTTTGATTGCGCTAAATAGTTGAATATAAGATGTGAGCCAGGGTTGTCCACCTAGCTAAGGGGGCAACTCGCCCCACCGCTCAACCAAATGGTAGTGAGAATCACGCCATAAAATGCAGGACGGTCAGAATCGCACCACCTAGGTGAGTGGGTGAAATGTCGATGTATATCCACATATTCCTGTGAGCTCGGGCGGCTGAGTTGCAAACATCGCTTTTCATATCATCCCAATAAACGACGCCAATGTTTGTGTGAAAGTCGGGTAACCACTAAGCTAACCAACTAGCTTTGTTGTTTATGTGAATGGTCGCTGGAAAATGGAAGACGCGTAGATGGAAAGGTAAACGATTATATCTATTACATAGGATGGAGGTTGCCGATGTGGCCAACCTATCTATTACAAAGCCTAACCAGCCTGCGGGTCTTTAATCTCTTCATCCTTCGCCTGTCCAGTGGAAGGAGATGGGATCCTTGGCTACTCAGCCTAGGTGTGAAGCGTGGTGTTGAGGGACTATAACTTAGATGGTGAGTGTTTGGAAGTCAGTCTCAGTAGTCGGCCATGGAAGGATGGTCGGCCAAAGGTAGCCAGCCATAAGAATATGGTTGGCTGGATGCGATCTGCAAGAAAGCAATAAGCTCTATGAGTATGGTCAGCATGAGGTAGTCGACAAGAAGGCAGTCGGAGGGGAGCAATCATTGTGGAAATAAGGTAGGGTTGGTAGGCTAACTAAATCGATCGAGTGAATATTAAATGCAAGTGAGTGGAAAAATTAAATAGAGATGTTAAATTAATCCTTTATGCGCTATAACTTGAATGCGAAAGCACAATTAACAATGATCGCATGTAAACCAAATAAATCAACTAAACAATGTTCATGATCATGGATTTTTAATTAAATGGAAAGGATAGAACTTACTTGGCTCCATTGAAGAAGTAATCTCTAAATTGAATGAATCAAGAATATAATGCTTCACCTCTCTGATCCGTATTCCTTAATCACCTCCTGATGATACGGAGACTAGAAAACTTAGAGATTTGAAACTGTTAAGATCCCTAGAGTTTTCCTGGGTATTTATAGATGTGATGAGAAACCCTCTTTCAAGAGGAATGGGGAACCTCCTTTAGGAATAGAAATCCTTTTAGGAATGTGACCTCCTTTAGGAATAGAAATCCCTTTAGGATTGTGAAACCCATAACCTTATCCATTATACATCTTTTAACCCTTATAAACTTAAATTTTAACAGAATGAGAGGGAGGGAATTTCACCCAGTAATTCCGCCTTTACACATCACTAATCATCAACGTGAGTACCTTATGGAATTACAACCTTTATTATATAAATCATTGTTAGGAAATAATTATTTCTAACAGTCTCCCACTGATTCATATGAGCATGACACCTTAATTATATGAATCAACGTTAAGAAAAAATTATTTCTAACAATCTCCCACTTGATTCATATATGCGTGACTTTACAATTTTCAATCCTTAATTTGAGCTCACTTAATATGAAAATGTAAAAGTCACCACCTTATCGAACTTTATTAACCGAATCATGGCGGTTACAGGCCTGACATAGCGTCCCGCTCCCTTCCATGTATCACAGTTAATAAGAATTCGAACCATAATAATAAGGAAAAATTCGAAAGTACCTTATTCCTTATGTCTTAAACAAGACCATTGTTATCACTTCTGAATTATGCATAAGTAAGTGATCAACATCAACCACAACAAAATCAAAACCTGAATAGATATCTAAGAGTATCATCAACCTGATGTGCTATCAAACATAAATCCATACATGTATGGCAGAGTTAACCGTTATACAAGGACTTTACCAATATGCCCATCCTTCTAACATGGCCAATGAAGGTCGTGGGCGCCAATCCCTTAGTCAACGGATCCGTGATCATAAGATCGGTGCCAATATGCACTATTGATGCTCTTTTGATTTTGTACCTTCTCCTTAACAGACAGAAATTTCAAATCCATGTGCTTGGCACCACTAGTATATCTGTCGTTCTTTGGGAAGAACATAGCTGCTGTATTATCATAAGGAATCCTCAATGGTTTGGCTATAGTGTTGACAATGCCCAAACCATAAATGAAATTATGCAGCCATGATTATTGAATTGTAGCCTCAAAGCATGCTACAAATTTTGCCTTTATAGTGGAAGTAGCAATGACAGGCTCCTTCACACTCATCCAAGATATTGCTCCATGAGCAAGTGGAAAAAATATATTCGAATATGGATTTCCGGGTATCCAAACATCCGGCATAGTCTGAATCCGAATAACCTATAACCTCCAGGTTATTCGTTCCTTTTATAGGTGAGCATGTGGTCCTTAGTGCCTTGTAAGTATCACAAGACCCTCTTTGCAGATTTCCAGTTTATATCTTTCTAAAACTTTGTTAATGTGAGTCTTCTAGGATGAACCTAAAATCCCATGTGATCTATCACAGAATATTTCTTATTCCAATCACATATGAAGTCCCACTCATATCCTTCATTTCAAAGTTCTTAGAAGGATATTCCTTAATATCACGCAACATCCCTTTATTATTAGCAGCAAGAACAATGTCGTCAACATGTAATACTAGGATTACAAACTTGCTTCCACTAAACCTTTATGTAGATACACTGATCAACAGTGATCAAAACCAAATGACAATTTCAAGTATCATTGTCTAGAAGCATGTTTTAATCCATAGATCGACATCTTCAATCTACATACCAGATTTTCCTTTCCTGTGGCCATGAAGCCTTGCGGCTAATCTATGTATACTTCCTCTTTTAATTTACCATTCAGAAAGGCGATTTTAACAACCATTTGGTGGAGCTCAAGAACAGAATGAGCCACCAAAACCAAAATAATTCTCAAGGAGAATTATTATCCTGCATGGCTTGGTTAAATGAGACTGGATAATTATCAATGCTCAAGTCACTTTCATGCTCAAGTGCATAAACAATATAGTCATCAGGAATGACTGATCTTTTCTATCTAGTAGATCTCCTTAATGCCACTTCCTGCTGAGATTTCACTTGATCATCATCTTGAGTTTCAACCTCATCTTCATTTACAATAGCTTCCTCATGTGGAATTTGAGCATCTAGTTGCTGTTGTTCCAAAGTATTTCCATAAGGCTACACTGCACTGCAGCAATAGGAACAACAACATGAAAAAGGATCACTTGATGAATCTGTAACCATCAATGACTCCTTAATCTCAACATTATGAGCTCCCACACTCCCACTGACTTCGCCATTTCAAATGAAGCGAGCATCACCAGACTCAACAATCCTTGTACTTATGATTAGGACAATAAACATGTACCCTTTAGACCTTTTTGGATATCCAATGAAATAACCACTAATGGTTCTGGATTCCAATTTATTTTCATGTGGATTATATATCCTCACTCTAGCTTGACAGCCCCAAATGTGAAGATGCCTCAAACTAGGTTTCCTTCTTGTCAACAGTTCATAAGGTGTTTTAAAAAACAACCTTACTAGGAACCCTATTGAGTAAGTATGCTGTTGTCTTTAATGCATATATCCACAATGAAACAAGCAATGTACTGTTATTGACCTTACTCCTAACCATTTCCCTTAGAGTACGATTTCACCTTTCTTCCACACCATTTTGATGTGGTGTGCCTAGCATTGTGCCTAGCTTTCATCATGTTTCCCATGAAAAACACTTTTCATTTTCCATGTGAGGTTAAAACATAAAAAAATCTTCCTTAATGTTATAAACATGTGTTGTAGCACCAGTGTCTAACCACCAAGTATTAGAAGGAACCTTAACAAGATTGGATTCAAAGCATACTAAAACTGAATGTATACTTTTATTTCCATCCAAGCTTTCCTCTTCAGGCATTCAGCCTTCTTGTGCCCAGGTTTGTTACAGAATAGCATTTCTGCACTTTCTGAACATCACCTTGCACCTTCATAGGATGCTTGCCCTTCTTTACTACTTTTAGATTTGCTGCTATTATCACTGACATTAAAACTGTCACCTTATAGCGTGATACGATAGTGTTCACTGCAAACATTTATCTCACATTTATCAATTGCTTTGAGTAACAAACCTTTATTCAGACTATAATTTATAGACCTTAAGTTTGTATTTAAATCCGCCTTTGGGTCAAATTTAAATACAATGTCAATTTACCGACATGCATCATTCACACATATTTGAATGAGACTATTTATCAAGTTTCCATTTAATATATAGGCCATCTTTGGACATGCACTACATATTAACAAAACAAGAATCATAATCTCCTAAATTGTCATTAATCACATGTCTGATCTACCTTTGGGCAACCGCTAGAACCATGTGTTAATGATCACAAATGTTTATCAATCCTTTAGTGTCATTCAACGATGCAAAATACTTGTGTACGATAAACATTTGTAAACATAAATAATTATTTAGCTATTACCTTGAGTGGGCCACTTTGGTGACTGACGCACTCGCCTTATGCTAATAATTTATTTATGTGAATAAACCTTAATTTATGTTGCAAACATAAACATAAATGATCATTTAGCTATTACCATGAGTGGACCGCTTTGGCGACTAACACACTCGCCTTATGCTAATAAATCATTTATGTGAATAAACCTTAATTTATATATATGTTGTAAACATAAACATAAGTGATTAATTAGCTATTACCTTGAGTGGGCCGCTTTGGCGACTAATGCACTCGCTTTATGCTAATAATTCATTTATAAACATATATATAAACTAATAGTGGATATAACCTCCAACCATAATTGATCCCAAATGAGCCTATAATTTAAAGCAAGTCCTTAATGCCTTAAATAAACCAAACAGCTCAAATATAAACCCAAATTAAATGAATCTAGAATTTAAAGTAAATCCATAATACTTTAAATAACCCAAATAGACTCAAATATAAACACAAATTAAATGAGCCTAAAATTTAAAGTGACTCCATAATACTTTACATAAATCCAAATAGACTCAATTTAATTGTCCAAACAAAATAAACCTTAATTTATATGTCGTTCTCTTATAACATATAATTCATGATTTGATAGAGATAAACCATATAACATATGAATCATATACCGTACGAACACAGTACAACTAACATATATATGTTTCTTGATTCCATATGATTCAAATCCAAAAATATATATATATATATATATATATATATATATATATATATATATATATTCATTACAGTATATACATACATGTATGACATATATCTGATGCTTGATTCCAAGAAACAGGCACAATTGATCCCATTTGATTCAAGACAATTATATATATACACTGCTACTCGTGTTAATTCCAGTTGCCCAACTCATATATACAGAGTAAACATACACAGTAATTCCATATATATATATATATATATATATATATATATATATATATATTCAACACAATATATAATTGTCGTACGCCATATACGAACCAAATAAATGCAAACATGCATGCGAAATAATTCGACAGACAAAATAGTATCACTGGAATACTAAGTGAAATTGTGTATCTGTATGCATGTGACATATGTTTGTCGTGTGCATATGATTCGCATGTATCTTTAATCAACAAATTCTTGAATATTCATAATATTCATATAATCACATACATAAACATTGTTGATTCCACATATGCGAATATAAATATAAATACTGAAATTATATATAATGCACAACTAATTAAACCTTAATAATTAAAAATCCCCAAAATATCATGAACCTTAATTTTAGTGATTAATCAATTTACAAGCAGACTCTGATACCAAATGTTAAATTAATCCTTTATGCGTTATAACTTGAATGCGGAAGCACAATTAACAATGATCGCATGTAAATCAAATCAATCAACTAAACAATGTTCATGATCATGGATTTTTAATTAAATGGAAAGGATAGAACTTACTTGGCTCCATTGAAGAAGTAATCTCTAAATTGAATGAATCAAGAATATAATGCTTCACCTCTCTGATCCGTATTCCTTAATCACCTCCTGATGATACGGAGACTAGAAAACTTAGAGATTTGAAACTGTTAAGATCCCTAGAGTTTTCCTGGGTATTTATAGATGTGATGAGAAACCCTCTTTCAAGAGGAATGGGGAACCTCCTTTAGGAATAGAAATCCTTTTAGGAATGTGACCTCCTTTAGGAATAGAAATCCCTTTAGGATTGTGAAACCCACAACCTTATCCATTATACATCTTTTAACCCTTATAAACTTAAATTTTAACAGAATGAGAGGGAGGGAATTTCACCCAGTAATTCCGCATTTACACATCACTAATCATCAACTTGAGTACCTTATGGAATTACAACCTTTATTATATAAATCATTGTTAGGAAATAATTATTTCTAACAAGAGACACAATATTTTAACGTGGAAAATCGAATGGTGAAAATCACTAGCCTTTTTCGACAGTGCCAAACCAAAATTCACTATTTTTTGTAGGTAGTCTTGTACATGAGCAAGTCGGATCTTTCTTTCTCCCTTTTCTTGTTAGAGAGTAGAAGTTTTTCCCACAGAATGTACCTACACCCTCTACAATGTGACCTCTATAGGTATTTATACATAGAGAATTGACAAAAGAAAGAAAAGAAAAAGGTTTACAAATTTGACTTAGACAACCTTCCTTTATTGAGTTTTGGATTCTATCCTTGAGAGAGAAATTCCCTTCCTAAACTGAAAATGTAATGTGGGGGTGAAAAATATGGTAACATATCTTCTAGGGAAAATTGTAAAAAATTCCCCTATATAATATGCCAATTATCAATGTCACCCCTGAATTATGAGTGGTGTAAATGTTGCCCATCAATTATCAAAACGGTGCACATATAGCCCCTCTCGTAACGGACATGTGGTTTCCCGTTAGTGTACGACACCGTTAAGTCGGAGTAAATATGTAATTTAGTTGTTTTTTCCCTCCCTCGATTCAAAGTACCAGCGATGGACAGCGGTGGGGAACCCCAGGTCCGTTACGGGATGGGCTATATATATGTGCACCATTTTGATAATTGAGGGGCAACATTTACACCACTCATAATTCAGGGGTGACATTGATAATTGACATATTATAGAGGGGCATTTTTTACAATTTTCTCTATCTTCTAACATCTCTGGATCCTCACTTCAGAGCTGGCCGTCGGGCAAACCACCCGATGTTGGTCGGCGGGCTGAACACCTTCCCATCCTAACTGCCTTGCAAGGCCAACTAGGTACCTGGAGCCGGTATCCATCACTAGTCCTTCACTTTCCTGTAGGTCAACTTGTTGATGGCGCAGGAAAGTAATCACGTCACTGATCGTCCTACCTGAAGTCCGCACAGCCTCGTTGTTAACTCCTTTTTCAAGGTAATAAATAGGGCTTTTCGCTTTAATATAATTGTTTTCCTTTCAATCCAAGCGTCTTCAATTTTCCAGCAACCATTCAACTAAACAACAAAGTAGAAACGGCTAGTCAGTCAGCTTAGTGACTACATGACTTACCCCTTGATTAGTTTATCGTAAAAGCAATCTTAATAAAAAATTAAGATGCAATGATATGGTCATTTTTTTTTTCCATTTTAGTCATAATGGATCATTTTTTATTTTCAGTCAATTATTACTATTCATTTCTTTTTTAAATTTACCTAATTTCTGTGCCATTTTTAATTGATGATTAACATTTATTGTAAAATATTTATGATATAATTGTGATTAACTTGTCTTCAATCTTAATCAAATATTAATTGTCACTGATCTGACCATTTCCTTTTTTCATTTCCAGTCAATTATTATTTTTTATTTTCAGTCAATTAGTAAATTCGTTTCATTTTCGAATGTTATTATATTCAAACTACTCCATATTATTCTACTGTGTAATATTATTGTGAAAGATTTATGATGTAATTGTGATTTGCTTAATTTCAATCTTAAAGAAAAATCAAGATGAAACGACATGGCCATTTCTTTTTTCATTTTAGTCAATTTGGGATCATTGTTTATTTTCGGTCAATTATTAATATTCATTTTCTTTCTCAATTTATTTAATTTCTGTCCCATTTTTAAATTGATGATCTAGAATATTATTGTGAAATATTTATGATATAATTGTGATTAGCTTGTATTCAATCTTAATCAAATATTCACACTAATCTGACCAGTTCCTTTTTCATTTTTAGTCATTTATTATTATTATTTTCATTCAATTAGTTAATCCGTTTCCTTTTTGAATTTACCTAATTTTCGTTCCCTTTTCTATTAGTAATATAAGTTCCCTTTTCTCCTTGTTTTTATATTTTTAGTCAATTAATGTTATCAATTTCTTTTTCAAGTTATCTTTACTATTCTTTGGATGAAAATCAAGAAAGTAGACTTTGTTTTTAATTATTGTATAGATATAGATAAGAGTATTAGATAAGGGCGGGCGTTTCGGGTTTCGATTCGTTTTTTTTTTTTTTTTTTCAGTTTTGATTTCAGTTTTAAAAAATTAAACCATTCGATTTAACAATAGAGTTCAGTTCGGTTTCGGTTTCGGTTCGGTTTTGGTGGAAGTCCACTATTTGAGCGTTTCCTTTTTTTGCCTGACGGATTGTTCAGTTGGCTCACTTGGAGTGCCACTTGAAGTGTTTTGTTGATGAAAAGATGAAGAATCATCCATCTACATAGTTAATATTTGAAAAATAAGAATTACTAAAACACCAAATGTTGGGACTTACGATTTAGAGTTGAGGTCTGGGACTTGAGGAGTTGAAGTTATTAATTACTATAATATTTATAGAGTTAATACCCAAAATCATCCTTGACTATAGTGGTTTTTCTCAATTTCGTCCTAAACGACTTTGGTGACCTAATATCGTCCCAGACTTTTGTGTTTCGCTCAATTTAGTCCTAGACTTTTGTGTTTTTACTCAATTTAGTCCCTCATTTGTTATTCTGTCCATTTGGTGTTAAATAAATAGACAATTTAGTAATTTTAATATTGGCATCTCTTTACTCATAGACATGTGAACTGCGAAATTCCTTTTTTTTTACGAATTACTCCCAGAATTACTTCTAAAACTGCGAATATAAAATTTGATTTGCAGGTCCGGGAGTAATTCTGGGTGTAATTCGTACAAGAAAGAGGAATTTCGCACTTCACAAGTTGAAAGTAAAGAGAGATCAATATTGACATTACTGAATTGTCCCTTAATTTAACACCAATTTGACGGAATAACAAATGGAGGACTAAATTGAGCGAAACACAAAAGTCTAGGACGATATTAGGTCACCAAAGTCGTTTAGGACAAAATTGAGAAAAACCACTATAGTCGAGGACGATTTTGGGTATTAACTCAATATTTATATATAATACTAGCATTTTGAACGCGCGATTCGCGAAAATTTATTCCCAATATTAAAAAATTGATAAATGCAAATAATTACAAATTATAGTTCAAATTATATTTCGCAATTCCTTAAAATAGTAAATTTTAATCATCGTATTTGAAAACTATAGAGATGACCAAAATTTATTTTTGTTCATTAATAATGTAAACAATTTTGATATAATTTATATTTTGTTTTTACAATAAATAAATAAAATATCTATAATACTAATCTAGTACCCGGTCACATATATTAGTGCGTGCGCGTGCCTATATATATATATACACACACATACATATATGATTTACCATTCATAGAAATTTAATTAAAATATAATCAATAATTAAAGTAATTATATACGGAGTAATAATTTTAATAAAATGATAATTAAAAAATAGGAAAGAGATATCATAGATATATGTGTATGATAATAATGATAGGGTTATGAAAGTTAGAATTAAATAGTAATGATGTTATAACGGTGTAAGGGTACTTTTGTCTAACAAGAATGTAGTATGGACAATTTTGTCCATTAATGAAAAATGTATACCTTTATTAGCATACAAATGTAAATGCTGACATAAACTAGTATTTCACCCGTGCGATGCACGGACATAAATTTGGAAATATTGCATTTATGTTAATAAATTGAAAGTAATTTTATTTATTATTATAGTGGCTATAGGCCCTATTTTTCAAAATTGGCAGCATTTTTAAATTTAAAAAAACTGTTACATATATACAAAACAATAATAACATTATGATATGACATTGAATATCGGTAAAAAATTACAAATTATTGAAAATTTTTGTGTACACTACATTTTCTGTAGTGTTCAAACCCACATTAGAGTCTCCACATATTAAGATTTTCAGCCCATCTGGATTACTAACCCGAGATGCTGCTACATACAACTGTCCATGGTTAAACACGGGTTTCTTTAATAGTAGTCCGATATTAGATAAAGTTTGTCCTTGACTCTTGTTTATTGTCATAGCATATGACAACATTATTGGAAATTGCTTCCTCTGAAATTTAAACGGTAGTCTTGGGTCAGAAGGAGTCAATCCCAATCGTGGTATTAGTACCCTGGTGCCTACATTGTTGCCACACAGAATTTGAGCTTCAATCACATGGTTTCCTAATTATGTAATGATCAACCTTGTACCATTGCACAATCCCAAGGTGTGATCTATATTTCTGAGCAGCATAATTGGCAATCCAACCTTTAATGTTAAAGAATGGTTTGGAACACCGGAGCATCTCAAACTGTTAAGGAACTCTGTAGTGTGAACCTCTGATAACATATCAGCATTTGTATCTGACTTGCAAACCGAATCACAACTCAAATATGTCTTGGAAGTTGCCTCATTCATACTGTTCATGTATTCATTCACCTTGTCCACAATATCTAATGTTGGAGCTAATATACCTTGAGACTCCAAATGTTTATGATCTAGTTGACCCTGACCGTACGAAGGAAATGTGCTTTGGACAATTTCTGCTATGGGGTCAACTTCATTTCTTAGAACAAAATTATCTGGAATCCTTATATTGAAGATACCATTATTCTCTTCTCCTAAATTCCATCTCATAGATCAGCAATCCATTTTGCAAAACTGTTTAACTTTTCAACTTCTTCTGCACTTGAAATACCACGCAACCTCAGATTCTTTGTTAAGCGTAGTACTTCGCAATTACTCCACAAGTATGATGAGTTTATACTTGCTTGTACTATATCTTGTCTGCTACCTTTTGGTATAACTGGTAGTATTTGTCTAAAATCACCTCCAAGTACAACTGTTTTTCCACCAAAAGACATTTCTAAGCTTTTTGGATTAGGGAATCGCAATATGTCTCTCATTGTCCGATCTAATGCTTCAAAACAATGTTTGTGCATCATTAGAGATTCATCCCATATGATTAACTTAACTTTTATAATCAATTCAGCAAGTGGACTACCTTGGCTAATGTTGCAAGTTGAGTATTCATTCACTGCAATGGGGATAGAAAACCTTGAGTGTGCAGTCCTTCCACCCGGTAAAAGTAGTGAGGCTATACCGCTTGATGCTACATTCAAAAAAACTTCTCCCTTTGACCTTAAAGCAGCCGACAGTGTCCTCCATAAAAATGTCTTGCCAGTTCCACCATATCCATAAACAAAGAACAAACCACCTTTATTAGATTCAACATCCACCATCACTTTGTTGTATATGAGTAATTGTTCATCAGTTAGTTTAGAAAACAGTGATTCATGTTCTAGCTTTAAAGCTTCTTTGTTGTACGCCAATTCTTCGTACAACAACCGATTACCGAAATAGTATTCATGACTTCCCACTGGCATCGGCATTGGTGGATAATCACTTAGAGACTTGTTCCAAGTATTCAACAAATTCTCCACTTCCATGAGTGCCCATTTTTCTTCTGTTCGTCATTGAGCATCAAATCTATATAATTTATAAACAAATTAGTTTAATATATAAATGAAAAAAGTACATTTAAGGAAGTGTTTTGAAGAAGAATTGTTTACCTGGATTACTTGTATTTATTTTAGCATTGAACTCAACATCATCAGCTAGGTATTGCCAAATAATATCCCACACTTTTTCTGGTTTCGCCATTGAATTTGATGTCAATAAAGTTATAGTTTAATGGGTAAAATTCTTGCTTTCTAACTTGATGGTTAGAGGTTCAAACTAGGGCTGGGCACTTCGGTTCGAACCGAACAGAACCGAACCAAAATCGAAGTACCGATCGATATTTGGTTTAGGTAACCCGATCGGTTCGGGGAACCAAAGAACCGATTGGTTTTTTTTTGTTTTTTTTGTTTTTTTTTTTTTGTTTTTTTTTTTTGTTATATAATAAATATATATAATGTTTTAAGTAAGAATTGAACCCTTGACCACTTTGAAATCAAAAGCTTTACCAATTAAACTATAGGTACATTTGTGTTAATGTTTACATTTGTCTGTTAATAAATGTATACATTTTATATTAAACATTGTACACTTCAATTGTAATGGACAAAATTGTCCCTACTACATTCTTGTTAGACTAAAATACCCTTATACCGTTATAACACCGTTACTATTTAATTTTAAAACTTTCATAATTTTATCATAATTATCATACACCTATATCTAATTATCTATGATATCTTTTTCCCATTCTTTAATTATCATTTTATTAAAATCATTATATAATTACTTTAATTGTTGATTATATTTTAATTAAATTTCTATGAATAGTAAAATCATATATGTGTGTATATATATATATATATATATATATATATATATATATATATATATATATATATAGGCACGCATACGCACCAGTATACGTGACCGGTTACTAGATTAGTATTAAAGATATTTTATTTATTTATTGTAAAAAAAGTATAAATTATATCAAAATTGTTTACATTATTAATAAACAAAATATACATTTCGTTCATCTCTATAGTTTTCAAATGCGATGATTAAAATGTACTACTTTAAAGAATTGCGAAATATAATTTGAACTATAATTTGTAATTATTTGCAGTTATCAAATTTTAATGTTGGGCATAAATTTTCGCGCATCACACTTACAAAATGCTAGTATTATATATAAATATTATAATATTTAATAATTTCAACTCTTCAAAATCGTCAGATCTCAACTCTAAGTCGTAAGTCCCAACATTTAATAATTCTTATTTTTCAAATATTAACTATAGATGGATGATTCTTCATCTTGTCATCAACAAAACACTTCAAGTGGCACTCCAAGTGAGCCAACGAACAATCGATCAGGCAAAAAAGAAAACGTTCAAATAGTGAACTTTCACCAAAACCGAATCAAACTTTTTAAACCGAAAGCGAAACCGAAACCGAAACCAAACCGAACCCTATTTTTAAATCAAATGGTTTAATTTTTTTAAAATCAAAAAATCGAAACTGAAATTAAAACCGAAAAAACCGAATCAAAATTCGAACTGCCAGCAGTCGTGAATTCTGCTATTGGCTGCCTTGATGATTTATTGGTTCGGGATCTATCTGTCTCAGGACTGCGTGCCATTACTGGACTTAAGCCTGCGTGCCATTGTTAGCTGTACATCTCTGCTTTGTCGTGTCTTTGGTTCTACAGGGCAGTCGATAGCATTCCGGGAGGTGTTGCAGTTGTGGTGCATCCCGGCTAGGCGGCATTATGGTGTGTAGTCGCTGTAGTGCAACTGGCTGGGAGGCCACGTTTGTGACGCGCGAGGCATCTATCCTCGCTACTTGTGCTTCAGATTACATGGTGGGCGGAGATGCAGTTGTGCAGCATCTCAGTCTACTTACTGGTTTTGACATACTCCTGCCTACGATTAGCTAGCATAAGGCTTGGGGCATGCATGTTAGAGCCCCGGGGGCCACTTTATGTTATCTTGTCTTATCTTACTTTTCCTTACTTAGCTTATTAGTAGGATTTAGGCCATGTGGGGCCTAAGTCCATCCGGACCTTGTACTGGCCTTGACCTTCCTTTTTATTAAATTAAAAAAAATTAAATTAAAAAAAAAAAAAAAAAAAAAAAAACTGCCAGCAGTAGTTCAAACTTCATTCGATTTTTGGGCTCGCAAGATAGTAGTATAGTACCATCATCTCGTTTATTTTACCGATATTGATTCGGTCAAGGACATGGTCGTCAATTAATCATACCCACGGGGGCACTTTAGGACGGCCGATCACACCTCACTACAATACTACATCATTCTAATTTCTAAGAGACTGCACTACAACAGGAGCCGCGCAACGGACAAGACGGCCTCTCTCTCTCTCTCTCCCTCCAAATGCTACCAAGAGATCGAGCGTGAAGCGCATTTCCGACAGTTGTAAGGAGCAATGAGCCCTGCCGCAGCGCGAACCCAAGGGAACTGTATTGCCATCCGGACACTTTCTACTTCGTCCTCCATTTCTCGATGCTCTCTCCCTCCTTCCGGCAACGGTAATCTCTATCTTCCCAATATGTATACGAATGCGTGCGTTTTTTTTTTTCCTGTTTATATCGGTATAGAATAGAACTAGAATATGTTTATATGCTCTATGCATGTATGTATGGAATACTAGCGTATAAATTTGAATATTTGCGATCTATATTGTGATTCGATTCGATGCTCGCTTCAATGTCTGTTTACTTCTTTTTTTTAATGCCTGATCACATGAGTAATGCACACTGAAACGGTGCTATTGAAGAATCAGAGTTCTATCTTTTTTCGTCATTTTCCAATCTCAAATTCTCTAAAATGTTTCAATAGTCTGGTAGGATTTGTTAGTATATTCATTTTCAGTTATATAATGATTAATTAAAGTCTCCGTCTTGATTAAAAGATAAAAAAATGTCTCCATCTTGAGCACAGTTAGTAAATTTGCCAGAGAAGTTTGCTTGTCCCTCTCAATCGTGAATATGTGAAACTGGATGAGTTGCAGGAAAAATAATGAATAGCCTGCGCTTTGATTGTAGATATTTACAAATTATACTTGCAAGATAAAATAAACATTCTCAAGTGCTTTGTTGTTCCTTAGATTTGCCTCAAAAGGCAAATTCTCATCCACTGATGATAAATTCTCCGGTGGTTTGGAGTTCCTTAGATTTGGTTCAAAAGGAAAATTATCGCTGACTGATGATAAAATTCTTGATAGTCCTTGCAATTTGAATTTTTTTTTTCCACCAATATTGGCATCAATTGTTATTAGGGAAGTTGTGCCATGTGACATTGAGATTCATGAAATTCTCACCGAAACACCTATGGATATGATGCAGAAGAAGGGGGAAAGGAGGCATACTTGTTTAATTACTCAATATGGCTTTTCTAAGACTGGATTTCAGTTCACTCTTTTGCATTACATCACACAGTTTATTGTAATTGTCTTTGAAATTGTTTATGTTCATTCTTATTCATGCCAGAAAAAGTGATTTTACTTGTGATCAGTCATTCAGTTGTCACTTTACAAGTTATCAATCTGTAACATAAATAATGGGAGTTGTAGCATTCCTACTATCCCATGGTTGAACCAATGCCTTTTGTGTTGACAACTTACTGTAAACACTGGTGGAAATTTGACAAAAAAATTTGAATTTCAAGTATTCAAGTGTAAATACTAACCAGATTGAACATTTGCTTTGCATCATTGCAGTAACTTTTGTTTTTTGACTTGTCACAACGACTTCTTTAGATTACTCATCTGTATCTTCTTTTTGTTCCTCAACTTCTACTGGTAAAAATGATTTAGCTTATGGCCCCTTTACAACTCGCAAGAAATGGATTTATTGAAAAGAAGAAAAATTAGTCATATATTTACATAATCACAGTTTGATCCAATGTTTGACTGCAGATGATGCAATTAGTGGGACTCCTCTGTGGATGGGTAAAGGACTCACTTGTGTTTGCTTTAAAGGAAAGGGAAACTACCAAAGAATCTGTATCAATTTGACACCTCAACAGGCAAGTGCATCAAACCATTTGATTTAACAGAGGAAAGAGGAATATCAGCAGTGAAACAGTGATTATCTCTGTACATACTTAACGAAAAGTGGCAAAGTTGGAAATCAAAACTGAGCTTTTGTTTTTTTTTTTTTTTTTTTCCTCTGGGTCCTCTGGAGATGAGAATTCTACCCTCTTTTCAGACAATTGAGTTATATGCCTTCATATGATACTTGACATGCGGACTATTCTATACAGAACTAATTCTGGTGTCTTCTAAACTGTCTAGGAAGAGAGACTGAGAAGACTACAACATAGAATGAAGGTTTGTTTTGATGCTTCCAAGCAGGAACATCAGGTTTGGTTCATCAAACAAATCCTTTGGATATTTTCCAATTCCAGACTTGCCCACTTTCTGTGTACATCTGAAATAATATAAAGAATCTTCGTGTAAAGGAGTTCATAGTGGAGAATGAGAGACGAGAACTTTTTCTAGACTCTTTTCATGGCTTACTTGAACAGAATTTTACTTCAACAGGAGGCTTTGAAAGCTCTATGGCATGCTTCATATCCTGATCAGGAACTTCATGGTTTGATATCTGATCAGTGGAAAGAAATGGGATGGCAGGGAAGAGATCCATCCACAGACTTCAGGTTGCTTTTCAATTTGTGCAAATGCACCCATGCTCCAGATTTTTTCCATTCTCTTGCTAAACCTGTGTTTCTTAAATGTTTTTAAGTGCCTGTTTCTGGAATGCGTTCTTATTTACTGAAACTTATAATTTTTTAAATTTATTATTGTTATTATTATTATAAGCAGAGGAGCGGGGTTCATTTCTCTGGAGAACCTGTTGTTTTTCGCAAAAACATTTCCTGTAAGATTCTAACTGAGCTATAATATCAAATATCATCCATGATTTGCCATTTTGCCATTTTCCAAGCCTTTTCAAATAACTGATACTTTTTCAAAAAATCATTTTCGAATCAACTCAAATTACCTTTTATTTTGTTTCCAGGCATCTTTTCAACGGCTGCTGAAGAAGCAAGGTGGAAAACGGTCTGCATGGGAGTATCCATTTGCTGTTGCTGGTGTAAATATTACATTCATGATTATGCAGATGCTTGATCTGGAAGCAAGTAAGAGAAATACATGATTCTTAGGAATTTGAACTAGTATTTCTGTTACCATTAAATTTGAGGAAAGTTTTCCTGCAGTCAAGACCCTTTCTAATTCAAACCAAACCATGTGCAGCAAAACCCAGAACTTTTGTCAGAGGAGTATTTATTCAGATGTTATCAGGTAACTCCAATCGCATCCCTGTGTATGTTTAGTGTGTATTTACAAGTGGTTATGATGTCTGGTAAGACTCAAACATAAAGCAAAAACTAACAGTTGATTGAAAACTCTAAACTAATATATGATTACTGCACTTTCAGAGAATGAATGGGCATTCGACCTACTTTACTGCGTGGCTTTCTTGGTTATGGACAAACAATGGCTGGAGAAAAACGCTACATACATGGAGTTTAATGTGAGCAATGAGCAATGCAACTCTTTCCTAACAAAAACCACACGCATTTTCATGGAACAGAGCAGTTAATTTAGATGTTTAGTCTGAGAAATTGGCTTGCATTGCATGTGCTCTGCGGGTTTTCTTTTTTGGGTGACGAGGAAAACCCGTTGCCATTACCCGAGGGTGTGCATTTGATAAAATACCGCCTTGTGATTCTTGCCAGTAAAGGACCACAAGGAGATAAACTAGGTTGTCCATAGCTGGCTAGCTCAAATCAAGAGGGATGGGATTAAAATTCTTGACTTTGTGATTACAAGTTTGTATCCTTAACAATCTTGGCTGGGGTTACCTATCTGCCGGTTTGCTTTGTTTCCCACCTGGCATAGTTCTCATTTGCTTTTTACTAACAAATGCATCAACATTATAGGATGTCTTGAGATCCACACAATCACAGCTGGAAAAGGAACTTTTGATGGATGATGTTTTAAGGATTGAAGACTTGCCTTCCTACACCCTTCTGTGCTAGTTGCTGCATTGACAATCAGTTTTAACTTATAGGTAACTTTTAGAGTTTCTTTTAAGTCTTTCCTAGTTCTAGCAGTGGAGTAAAAAACATCGTGGTTCCTTCTGGAAGCTGAAATCTGATTTTTTTGTTTTGTTGTGTTTTGTTTTTTGTTTTTGTTTTTTTTGTTGTTGTTTTTTTATTTTATTTTTTCTGCCAAGTCCGCTTGCACTTCAACCTCTACAATTTCTTTCTTCTAACCATTTCCTTGTGGGTTAGAATCTTTTTCAGTCTCGTAATTTTTTTTTTAGAATCAACAGATTATGAAAGAACTGTGTTCGACATAGTTTATAATGTATGCATGCACGCTCTTTTAACCTCTTGCTGTTGCATTAATACAATAAGTTGATATTAACTGAAATATATGATATTAACGAAAATGTTAAAAAGCCAAGAGCTTATTTTGAAATGCTACCGTTTCTAAATAAGATATTATTTTAAGCTATCATATTTTATCAAATAAACTTATAATTTATTTGTAGCTTGAAATAAGCTCAACCAAACAGAGCAACTGGAGTTTAATTCGTCAGAGAACTGAAATTTTGTTAGTAATTTTTTTTTCCCATTTTTAAAAGTAAACACTATTTATATCGTAATATGAAAAAAAAAAAAAAAAAAAAAAAGAAAAGAAAGTGGGGATTGGGGACGGAGCCAGAAATTCAATTGGGGGAGGGGGGGGGGGGGGGGGGGCGAAGAAGTAGGGACGGATTCAGAAAATTTTTCTATTAAAACAAAAGAGATAATTAAAAAGATTACCTAAAAAATATAGTTGTAAATATTGTTGTTGTTATTGTGTGTATTAAATTTAAAAAAAAGCTATATAGGGGAAGGAGAAATATTGTTGTGTGTATTAAATATTAAAAAAGGTGGAAAAAACTGTAGAACTACATTGATACCAAAGGATTCAAACCTTTGACTTTACAACTATCAAACATGTGCTCTGTCAACTAATCTAACTCATTTTTTGTTAACATTTAATAGTTTATACTAATACTAAAACCTGTACTATGTATACATATATACATACAAAGATTATATATGGGGTGGAGGTGGGGTGGGGTGAGGGGGCAGCTGTTGCCCCTGCCCCCTTTAGCTCCGTCCCTGGTGGGGATATAGACCTGATCGCCGCACAACCAAAATCAACTAAGGGGGTGTTTAGTTGGAAGGAAGTAATTAGGGGGGAAAGGAATTGTAATTCGGTGGGAAAAGAATAAGGTGAGAATAAAGTAGGAATTCAAATTACGTTGTTTGGGAGGAAGAAATAAAATTTTGGAGTTGAGAATGAAAGAAGTGCTATAAAAACTAAAATACCCTTATGTAATAATAATATTAATAACAACTAAGGGTAATAATGTCATTTCATTTGTTTTTCCTTTCTCAAATTCATTGAATTGCAATTCATGGGGGTGCAATTCAACAAAAGGAGGGAATTGCAATTCCCTCCAACCAAACAATATAATTGAGGTATCCATTGAATTGTAATTCAACTACAACAAAATTACAGTGAACCAAACGCCCCGTAAAATTAGAACTTTGCCTTATACACTTACATCATCATAAGGCTCTTCAGATGAATAATGTTATAAGCATGCATGTGTCTATTCTTCTGGGAAATTGACAAAAATAGGCAAAATTTGAAAGCATTAAATAAAAATAGACAATTTTTTAAAGTTACATAGTCCCGGAAAAAGTTCAATGATAAATGCATTTTTAATCTCATAAAAACACATTTACCAAATGCGGCTTACTATTTATGTATGGTGGACAAGAGGCAAATGCAATTGAGCAAGCCAACTCTACTTCAACTAATAAAACTTTACGACATGTTTTTCATGATGGGTAACAGGTTCAAAGAAAGAAAAGGAGAGTAATGAGGGGTGATGCTAATTTTCCAAAAATTAGGACGGGTCAAAAGTCTCACATCCCCAAGGCATCATAAAAGACATATAATACTAAGATGCTTCCTAGTATGCATCTCATATGATGTCTTCCGAACCGATTTAGAAAGAAAGCAATATATGAATATAGTAGTTTCTAAAACATGCACCCAAAATGATATTGGAAGAATTGCATGACTCGTCAATTCGTCATTGGTCGAGTACATATAATATTGTTTGATTCCTTTTTCAGAAACACCATGCTGTAAGGAGAATGGGATGTGAAACAATTCCACTCTTTTAGATAAGTAATACAATTTTGGCCGAAATATTTGACCATTCGGACCAATTAACCAAAAAGGTCCAGGTCACATGGACCAGCTCAAGAAAATAATTAGATCAAGAAAGTTCAAGAAAGATACGTTGTACGTACTTAGGAGTTTAATCAATCAGTATGTTATAAAATTGTGTCCACCTTACAAGGCTGGATAAGGTTTTATGTTCATAATTATTGAACTATATGTTCATAATTATAAAGTTACATATTCATAATTTTTAAACTTCATATTCATAATTATTAAACTCTATATTCACAATTACAGAACTCTATGTTCATAATTACTAAACTATATGTTCATAATTATAAAGCTATATATTCATAATTTTTGAACTTCATATTCACAATTATTGAATCTCTATATTCATAATTACAAAACTATATGTTCATAATTATGTTAACAACTCTATGTTCATAATTATAAAACTATATGTTCATAATTTTCGAACTAAATATCCATAATTATGAACAATTTGAAACCGTACCCTCCTTGCAAGGTGGACACGGTTCCACAGCATAATTTATCGAGTTTAATAGGGCTATGCTTATTATTTATAATATTGTAGGGATTAGGCCATGCCTACTATTCCTAATTATAATAAGAATTGGGCTCCTAATTCCCAATGTAACAAATACTTACAATATGAGACAATCTAAGATTTCTATTCCTTATAAGACTCTTAGCTCAAAATATGTATAAATAGACTCCATCATGGAAAAGGGGAAGCAAATTTCACTATATATTCACTAGCAATATTCATCAATACAACACTGGCTGCCCAAAAGTATAAAATCATCATTGGCGCCGTATGTGGGAATCGATACAAAAAGTTTACGTTTGTTCCCACAACGATGGACCCTGTTGGTTGCGGTTGTCCGTAGAAATCAAACCAGTAGGACCGATCTTCTGGGGAAGATGCATGGACCTGGTTCGCCCATCGGTCGGCCACCTCCAAATCCCCCAATCATGGTGACTACCGATCAAGAACCAATCAAGGCCAACTAGGCTACCCAATCCTCACCGACGAGCAGAGGTTTCCCCACTAGTAGATCCATGGACCAACCAGCTGCAGGTAGTGGAATACATGAGAGTTGACTCTCCGGAAAGCATGGCTGAGCGTAGTGGAGAAACACCTGAGCCTACCTGGAGAGCCCAAGTTTGGGAAGTTGAAGAGTTGGCTAGAGAAGTAAAAAATCTCTAGCACAAGGTGGAGGGTGGAAATGATCGGCGGACCGCTCGGTCATTATTTGTAACACCCTCTTTTTCTATACTTTAGAGTCTAGATTTAAGAAGTCTAAATAAGGTAAAAGAAAGGGAATAAAGATAAACTAGGATATATAAATCCAAAATCAACATCCAAAAGAGAGTGTCACCGCCACAGCTACCTACCTTCGAGTAACTGCACAGGCTAACTTCTAAAATCTAGAGTCATACGCTCAATACATAAATAGAATGGGATATGCGAACCCCGGTATCTAAGCACCAACCAAAATATGGTAGTCTAGCTACATCAACAACTAACAAGATATCACCAAAAAGGGAAGAGGGATAACTAATGCTAGCTTAGCATCTACTATGCTCTAGAGCTACACACTACTACATCAATTGCGTGCTCTCATCAAACACCAAATCCACCTGAAAAGGGTTATAGAAAAACATAGGAAAATAAACCCGTTAGCATGAAAATGCTAAGTATAAAACCGCTAACATAATATAGAATTAGATTTTTGGAAATTGATAGTAAGACTTTCATGAAAATTCTAAGTATAAAACCGCTAACATAATATAGAAATAGATTTTTGGAAATTAATAGTAAGACTTTAGGGACCTTAAGGGAAAAGTAGAGCTAAAATTTCCTAAGTAGGGAAGTTTAATTATGGCTTAAAAGTTTCAAACCCGGGCCTCTTTCTTATTAACCTAACCCTTGAACCATTAAGCTATGAGTGTTTCTTAAACCTCACCAAACCTTAATCCTTTTTAATCTTTCCCACTCCAAACCCTATCTTAAAATCCCCAAATTAAAACCCTTTTATCCTTTCTTCTTCCCCCACACAAACCCCCGTTGTCTTCCCTTCTTCGCTGGAAAAAGAAGAGAAAGCCACCATCATCAACAACCCCTTGGACATCCTCCACCATGCCTAGAAAATCAAGTGTTGCAAAGAGGGTGGAATGGGTTGATGCCCACTACCTCGTGTTGGAAGGTAAAGCTTTGGAACCCGAATCTTTCTCTAATAATGTGATAGAAATGCTTAGGTACCAAGGTTTATTGGACTTGTTCTTGGAAATTAAATGTAATACCTACCCGGATTTGGTCAAGGAATTCTATCACCATATGGGTGTTACCAAGGAGGGTGACAAGATGGAAATCACTTCTAAAGTTAGGGGAGTGAAGATTATTTTGAGTGAAAACCGTTTGGCCAAATTCCTAAAGTTGACTCCAACCGGAGTATCGAAGTATAAACGGGAGACTTGGATTAAGACTGAAAACTTGGGGCATAAGGATTATTTGGGTTACTTGTTGGGAAGAACCGATGGTTTTACCTTGGCTACTAAACCGGAAAAGAAATGGTTATCAGCTGAGCAAAAGATTTTGATAATGTTTGTGGCCGATAGTTTTGTTACCTAACAACAACAAGAGTAAAGATGTGGGGAGTTTGGAATACACCTTTGCTTATTTCTTGAAGCACAAAGTGAAGTTTAACTTGCCTGCTCTTATGTTGAACCACATGGATTTTTGCATGGCTCATAACTGAAAGACTTTGCATTACGACATGGTTTTGAGTTGGATTTTTGCAAAGAAAGGAGTGAACGTGGGCCAGACCGTGGCTAAACCTGTGAGGAGGTTAATCTTTAATGCAAAGAACATTCGTGGCAACAACATCTTTCATGTCGGAAATGGAGAGTACATCACCTTGGAAGAGATAAGCCAGAAACCCTTGGCCAAGAGGAGGTTGTTGATTGAGCAGCTTGACATTCCAAATAAAAAGTTGAAGCAGATGGCTCAGGAGGAGGGAGAGAATGAAGAGGAGGAGGAGGACAGTGACTACGGTAGTGACAAGAGTGCTAGACGGATGGAACAGAGGACCAAGGCTGAAAAAGAATCCATGACTACTGAATAACGCATCCTAGCACAACTTCGGAGACAAAATCAAATCATAGAGGATGGTTTCTCTTCGTTAAATGTCAAAGTTGACTCCTTGGATCAGAGGGTGGCAGCTGTGGAGGCCAGGTTGGACACGGACAGCTCCACAGGTGCTACTGGTTCGGAAGCTGGAGCATCGGAGGATTGAGCGGGCAACTCTACTCAAGTCGGAGTTTAAGATAACCTCTTTTCTAATCTTGGTTTGGCTTCTAGTTTAGTAACCTTAACTTTGATCTCGTTTGAAACCTTAGGTGTAATCTAGCTTAATTGGTTTATACTTGTAGAATCTGTTGCTTAGAGTTAAGTATGGTAAGTTTGGTTAGTCCGGTGTTTAGTTTTAGTTAGTTAGCTTGGTGGAAATCTCTTTGCGTCAACCTTCTTTTATTAACTCTCCTTGATTCTTGTCACACGGCTTGCAGTCCAAATTGTTGTTCTTACTTACACCTCGTTGCATCTAAGCTTCGAGGACGAAACTTCTTATTGGGGGGGGGGGGGGGGGGGGGGGAGAGTGTGACACCCCGAAAATTTATCCTTTAAAACCGAGTTACTTACCCAATTAATTCCTATTTTGCCTTATAATTTCCTTCTTAATTTCCATTGAGCATAGTTGAGGGACCTAATCTGACTAAGCCCTTAGCTTTTTTAACTTAGTCAATGGGAATACTTTGTGCTTTATTCCTTGTACTCTAATCTTTTATTTTTCTCCTAACTAGCTTGTGGGAAGGGGAGGTCATGTTGGTATTTTCATAATCTTAACTTGGAACCCAAGATATTTCCTATACTCCCACCTTAGCATTCCTCACTTAGACAAGAAACACCTCTCTCTCTCTACACTCTAGCTTTCTCTCCAAGCTACTCTAAACAGCTCCCAACCTAACCAAAGAAATCCATCATGTTTTATACCTTGAAGGCCATCAAGTTTCCACCTTTACTCATCTACAACCTTAGGAAGGGTAAGTTCTAGGCTTTTATGGTTTTAATACTTAGTTTTTCACCTCCTTTAACTAAGAATTTTTGTATTTGTTGGGGTTTTGGTTTGTGTATGTAAGATCTTTTGGAAGAGGACCTTCAAGAAGGATCGTAGGAGTTGGGAAGTGTTGTTTAGGCTACAAAGGTAACCCATGTCTTAGAAAATCTATTTACACTTGCTATTTATGATTTTCTTGATGCTATTGAGTGATTATGTGCATATTCGTGTGATTATGCCTTGTTAGAGCTTGTATTTAGGGTTCTTTAATGCTATTCATTGGGATATTCTATGTGTTCAAGTTCCTTTGTTGATTTATGTGAGTTTTGAGGTATTTTGGACTTGAACTTGAGCATTTTGACAATTTTCCCCGAAGTGGAATTTCCTCTCTGTTTTCGGTACTAGCGGGTACACTTTCTCGGGTGGATTCACTTCCTTGATAGGATTTGTGAGTCTTGAATCGTGTTTGTGATCCAACTATGTGATTTGTTGGATTGAAGTGAAGTCTATGGTGTTCTTTTGAGCCTTTATGATTACCTTATTGATCTGCATGCTAGCTACGTTGTTGTTGGTGCTAGTATGTGTTTCCTCGTAATGGCCTTACTTATTCTTGATGAGTATTGGTAACTTGTGTACCAATCGTTGTGGTCTCATGAGTTGGAAAACCTCTCATTGTTGTGGAAATACTTTGGAAGTTTCTTTCGTGTTCTTTTTCTTGAATTCCTTCGATTGAATCTATCATTGTGAGATTGTACGATTATTGTACCTTGTTATGATTATTCCTTGATCAGGCTATTTTTGAGTCTCGATCATCTATGTCGATGACTATGTGCTATGATTGTACGATTATTGTACCAAACCACCCGCCGAACCCCTGCTGGTTCCACTCTGTACTGGCGGGTGCTTCCGGCGGGTACTTTGGTGCCTGCCCGAAGTATCCGCTGGTACGCGGTCCTGAAGCAAAGTGGGATTTCGGGGAAAAATGCCAAGAATGTGAAATCCATTTCCAAACTCATCAATACTCACATCCATAACAAATAGGACTTGAATGGAAGGAATAACTCAACAAATAGCATCATACGACCCTAAATACAAGCTCTACAATAACATAATCACAAGAATATGCATCAAACCACACATGAACATCAAGAAATACATTTATGCAAGGAAAATAGGTTTTATTGGACATAGGGTTACCTTCTTAGCTTAGAAAACCTTCCAAACCCTCCAAGATCACTCTTGCAAGTCCTCCTCACACTAGTAGAGAATTGACCAAAAAAATGTAATATTACACGTCTTTAGTTCAAATTAGTGACGCGTAAAGTAAGGAAAAAACAAGCGGTGGCATTTTTGTAAATATATTAAAACTTTACGCGTCATTACTTATATAGTAAAGACGTGTATCGTGCAGCTTTTTTATTTTTTAAAAAATTATTATAGTACACGCGTCATTACATTTATGGTAATGACGAGTATTTTATGCGTGAATATATCTAAGTATATATAAGTATATAAGTATATAAAGAGTATTTAGGGATTCAGACAATTCTAAACCTCAATTCTCTTATGCGCCGTCAAGCCCTAACCTTTCTGGTCTCGTCCACCCACCCAACTTAGCTGATGGACGCCGCCGCCACAGCAGCGATGCATTCCTGCCGGAGCCAGTGAGAGCTACCTCTCTGCAAATGGCTGAAACCCCGAGCAGAAGATCTCAGAAAACCCCCAAATAGCAGAAGGCGCCGCCACCGTCCATCTCAGATTCATCGCCCTCGTGCCATGTCCTCCCACCTACCCCTCAAACCCTAGACTCCTCACCTCGCTGCCGCTCTCTCCGACTGACCTCCACCCCTCAAACCTCAACACCGCCTCCAGCGCCGACCTCTACCCGCAACTCCTCCGGCCGAAAGTCTCTCAAGTTCGCTTCTCAAAGTGATTAGAAAACCCCACTTGGCCACTTCCAACCAAAGGTATATATAAAATACGAAGACATAATTTTTACGTATTTACTATTTAAAATACACTCCGTATATTTAGATTCTGATAGTGAAATTTGAGCTATTTTCCATAGAGAGAGGGATGAGGAGGAAGATGGGGACTATGTAGAATCCAAGATGTTACTAGATTGGAATCCATGTTTGGCAAAGTACTCAACTTTCGGTGGTCTGAACTCTCTTCTTCACCGCTAAGGGCCATAATGAGGTATTGCCGTTTTCTTTCCCTTCATTTCAGTGCCATCAAGTTTTGTTCTTTTTCATCTATTTCGGAGTGTGCTTGATTTGTGTAAATTGTGTTTTAGATTGTGGCATTGTTTCTTGATAATGGAGTTGATGTGAATTCCTGGAATTACTGTGGGCAGGTATGTGATTTAAGTCTTGTTTTGATGGTTGATCAGTGCCATTTCTTGAGCTAATGCCTGGTGTGATAGTTCTTTTGGTGGGAGATCATCTCCAATTCCGATTTAAGATTCTTGAAATTGATGGGCGTTTGAGATGAACTGGATTATATATAGCCTTCGTATGCATTGTAGCATTATTTTCATATTAATAGTACGTAATAATATAGACTACTTTAATATTATTGGTGAAGCTTGAAATGACTGTCTTAGCAGCTCTCCTCGGGCTTCAATTAGAAGCATGGATCAGAAGATCATTATTTGGGATCTACAACATTCGTTGCCTTGATGCACATGTGAACATGAGGTTTGTTCCAACTACTATACATGAGTTGATGATGATGGAGATGAAGATGGAGATGGTACTGAAGGAGCAGTAGGTGGTGCATTTAAAAGAACTTCTGTTAATTTTACTCAATTTTGTAGTTATCCAATTGTTTTGCTTTCAGATTTTATAATTGTGTGATATTCATTTGATGCATGCATTTTATACTGGTTCAGAGGATGGTATTATAATATTGTTATATTGTATATCCATTTCTAAATCTAACATCTTTTGTGAAACTTTAATTCGCCATTCACAAGATGCTGATCAGGTAGTAGATAGATCTATCAGTGCTGCTTGTGTTTTTTCAATAATATAATGTGGATATTTTTATTTATTTTCTCCTATTTCAACCTTTATTTTCTTTTCCCAATTCTTGCCATATATATACATCTGTATGTGTATGTTTGTTTAATTTGTTTGTTTCCAGCTTGAATATAATGAATTTGAGAAAATTGATGTTAGAGAATGGTGACACAAATTAAAGGTTTTGTGGCATTTTTTTAGGTTAGTGTTCCATGCAGCAGTATGTTCACCACTGTGACAGTCAGTCAGATATGGTCATTGTGCTAATTTTCTTTCTATGGGATCTTTGCTTCAGCCTCTCCCTCTTCAAGATATCTAGGTAATTTTCAATATAATAATTTACATAGTTTCATTTTATATAAAATCAAGAAATAATTTTTTTATAAAAAAAATTCTCTCTTTAAGAACTTTTTGAATGGTCAAAAAATAAAAAGGACATGTGTAACACCCCCCAAACAAGACCTATATAAAAGCCTTAACACATGCAGATTAAACGACAAAACTAGCACAGTGGAAGATAAAACGAAACTGGATAAAAGAAATCCAACGGGGTGTCACGACACGTCTACCAAACACGGTAAACGCTACGGCAAACAATCTGCAAGTGTATACATCTATCCCAAAACATCAGTCTAGCTACATTGGCGCACAGGCCACAAAAGCAAGGGTAAAGGTGCTTAGCTACCAGGCTCTAGACATCGCGCTCGTCTAAACACCACCTGAAAGATACAAAGATAAACATTGGGACGACGCCCGGTCAGCGAATAATGCTGGTAACCCACCAATACCGTTAAGTATCATATATAGATAGATATAAGTCATAAAAACCATTTTCGAAACGGAATACATATATATAAGTCAAAACCAAGATCAACAGTCAACACAAGACTCATCACTCACAAGGATAACATGGGAACACATCCCAACCCACAAAGGTTAACCACACGCAAAGGATAAAGACTCACCCAACGGCAACACATGCCAAAACAACACAAGCCTCCGTGACTACACACGTCACGAGAGAAGATCACACAACGCCGGCTTTACAAGCCCTCGCAACATCACCCATCACGAGTTGGTATGCCTTCCTTATGCCCTGTTCCAACCTTATGGCTACCCCAACCTTGTATCTTCTTTCCAACCATTACCTCCAGGACCCCTGTACTTCTTAGTCCAACCTTATTCCCCCGGGACCGTCGTCCCCCACCAACGACCACTAACGAAAACCACCAATCACGGCAACACATGCCCGGATAACACATGTTATCCCCCAAAAACGTGGACCCATCACTCAGGCCACAACTCCATAAGCACGTCACGGCCACCACGAGGACCGCTGCAATACCTTGGTGACTAGTGTCCCATACCACTAATCGTGCAATCCAGGTAAAGCCACACACGCACTACAACTCAACAAGAGTCAAGCAACGGATCACAACGAAGGTATGAAACATACTCAATCAAGGAACGGGTCACAGCCCAACGACAACAACGATGAATAACACAAGTTATCATCAACCAATCGGAAGATACAAACCACACACACACTAGCATTTAGACAACAAACTAGCATGCTTATCAACGGGGAAACTCAAGATAGTTCCGAGGAACACACAAGACACCTCTTGGTCCAACGAAACACAATGTTGAACACTTAGCATGATTCAAGACTCCAAAGTCCTACATGGATACCTACCATATAGTTCTAGACGTACGAAACATCAAGAAGACACTCAAATAGTTCCACAAAAGAACAACGGGAAGCCAAACGACCAAATACCGAGTCAAAAGAATCACGGGGAACAAATCCCGAACAAACACCACTCGTGTACCCGCGGGTGGACCCACGGGTAGTGCCCCACCCGTGGTTCCGCCTGCGGGAACACATTCCCACAGGGCCTTGTACCCGCGGGTAGGCTGGCGGGTGGTGCCCCGCCCGCGGGAACATTCCTGTTCCACAACAAATCTTTTCGGGGATTTTCTTCTCCAAACACAAATTCAAGTCTAAAACATGGCAAATCTCACCAAACACAACAAAATGAATTGAACCATGGAAAATGCCAAGCAATGGCACAAAGGAACCCTAAACACAAGCTCTAGATATGCAATATCACAAGACAAATGCATAAACCCTCACATTTCATAGCAAAACACATGTAGAATCCAAGAAATCACATATAGGTAAGCAAAATAGGTTTTGTAGAGCATGGGTTACCTCTTGAAGACCAAAAGACTTCACTTTACACCACAACAAGCTCTCTACGAGGCTTACTTTCCAAACCCACTTCAAGATTAAACCAAAGGATCATAAAGATCCTACCTTTAAGAAAAAGACAACTAAGATGGAACCAAAAACACAAGATGAACTTAGATCTTACCCTCCTAGATGCCCAAATAGGTGAAAGGTTGAATCTTGGAAGCAAATCTTGGAATCTTGACAAGGGTCTCAACTTGGCTTGGAGAATAAGCTACACTTCTTTTGTAGAGAGAAGGTAGAACTAATTTCTAAGAATTGTAGAGAATGAAATGAAGAAGTCTTCTAGGTTAGGTTACAATATTAACTCTTGGTGAAAAGACAAGGATACCTTTACTAACCCTTAGAAAGTGTAAGGAACAAGGGAACTCCCCTAAAAGCACAAGGTACAAGCACAACTTTAAGGTTGACTAGTCAAATTCTAGTCCTTGAGTATTAAAAATCAGGATTTTAGGAATTAATTCCTCAAATAAAATAGGATTAATTACTCAATTAATCCATGGATAGAATGTGGATTTTTGGGGTGTCACAACATGTATATAAACATTAAAGTTTCTAACTACAATATATGTACACACACATATGTATGTGTATGTATTATAGATCTATAGTGAATATCATCATGTGAATTATCTGCACCAATGCTTTGGCCCCCCCTTTCATGTTACAAAAGTTCTCATTATGTTTTTATGAATCTGCAAACTTTAGGTGCGTATAAACTTTTATTATGTTAGATAGAATTACATCATATCTATTAGTCTTGGATTATTACGAGGAGGTAAACTAAATACACTAAGTCAGAACATTGGAACAAGAATACCTTAAATGTTTATGAGTGCATATAAATGTTTATTATGTGTTTTAGATGGAATAACTATATATTATGATAGATAGATTAATATTGGATTAATATATAGTGTTAGAAAATTATCTATATTGGATTATATATATTGTATCAAATGGTTTAAACCATATAAATGTTGTTTGGTAGTGGATTTTGTATTGAGCAAGGATTAGTAGAAAAGATATATTGAATTAAACAGAATGTTAAAAGAAAAATTATAGGCGTGTTTACCTTTATGGTAAAGACGCCTATAATTTTTTTTTTATTTTTGTTAAACACAATACGCGTCTTTACTAAGACAGTAAAGACGCGTATAGTCTACTTTACGCGACTTCCAAATAAAGACGCGTAAAAGTATCCAACTATCAGTGTCTGCGCCATACGCGTCTTGACAAGAAAAGACGCGTATTCTCAATTAGTAAAGACGCGAATGGCTTGTTTTGTACTAGTGTCAAAGTGACTTCATCAAAAACCAGAACCCAACATACAAAAGGGAAATGACTTAGATGGAGTAGATGTAAACCAAGAAATAAGACTATAAACACCTAATATTTACCCCTTCTAAGCTTGGTGATAGAGAAATTGAAATCTTGTTAGTCTTCTTAGTTGGGGAAATGAGGAACACTCATGGTAGAGTGGGAGAAGGGGAAAATGGTGTGAGAGAGAGGTGTGGTGAGGCTTTGATAAGTGCCAAATATGCTATGTTTAATAGGGTAATTTATAGGCTAATTGTGCTTTACTTAGATTAATTTATGCTTAATTCTTGCTTAAATAGCTTGATTTGATAGAAATTATGATTAAGGACTAATTCTATTGCATTTGTAGAAAAATAGCAAAACATTGTCATTTTCAGGGCATTCCGGCGACAGTTCAGTAAAATGATCATATCTTGAGTTAGGAGTGCTCAAATGAGGTGATTCAAGTGGCTAAGGTTCGTGATTTTCAAGGGCTACAACTTTCATTTTGGGCGAAATTTCATAAAGTTCAACGCAGCTCGCAATGTGCGTTGCAGCTGCGTTGACAGGACAGTTAAATGAAATTTTAGATTCTAGGCTATAAAAAGGCTTGTAAGGGGATTGTTTTGGGAGAACTCCTTTTCCCCATTTCCTCACCTTTCAATTCATCTCTCTTAGGTTAGGGTAGATTAGGGTTAGGCTAGATTTACATTTCCTTGAAGATCTACACTCATTGTTCTACAATTTCTCTTGGATGCTTGCACAATAGATTGAAGATTTGGGTAACATCTCTTCCTTGTTTATTATTCAGACTTAATGTTGTGTTTTCTATCTTTGTAATGATGATGAGTGCTTAGATTGCTAGGGTTTGAATTGTGGATGTGTGAGATCATGATGCCAATGTGACTTAGTTCTTGAATTTGGGATTGATTGATTGCTATGCTTCTATATCTTGTTGTTTTGGATTGTTTTGTATGCATCCAAAGAGCTAGGCCAACTCCTAGGATTGTGTTGAGTGAATGACCTTTACTAGGTTAATTCAAGCTCCCATCCCTTACATTTCCTAGCTCAAGGAATCCTACGGGACTTGGTTGGGAAGGTAATGTAGGCAAGGTGTTTGAGGAAAGGTCTAGTAGTCTATGTTATGAAAGGACATAAGCCATTCCATAGACTTAGCATATGCATCCTCTTTACCTATGTTAAATGATTTAAGTGCATCATAATCTACACTACACCGTTCAACCCTATCTACTTTACATACTTACTTGATTGTTTTCTTTTATTTCTTTATCATCCTTATGCTTACACCCTTGTTTCCTTACCATCCTCATCTTGCACCTAGCATCTCTTGTTGATACATTGTAACACTAGATTGTTTGCACTTTACTTACTCCGACTTGCCATCCTTGAGTTCGAAACTCGGGAGTTCCCCAATTCTCTTTCACACTACAATTCCATCCCACACTAAACTACACTATCAGACTGAAATGTTTGAGAG